GGTTTTTAACTTTGTATACAGGGGTTTAGCCCCGGTATCTTTGGGGAAATAACTGGTATTTAGGTTAAAAGCCAGTATTAAAGAAACTAGCCCCGTTTTTGGTTATAAAGTTTGGGAAATTTTAAGTTATAAAATGGGATCTAAAAATAACCTTTGGGAAATTGATCATAGCTGGGAAAACCCAGGTTAAAACGCTGGTATTTTTAGGTTTTATAGCTGGTATCTAGGTTATAGCTGGGGATAAAAAGGGTTTTTTAGCCAGTATAAAAGATCATAGCTGGGAAATAGGTTAAAACTGGTATTCCTTAGGGCAAAAGCCCGGTATAAATTGGTTATGCTTTGGGATGTAAAATTTAAAAAGTGGGAATAAAAAGGTTTATAGGCCTTTGGGAATTTTTGGGTTTAAAAAGCCCGATAAAAGGTTTTTGCTTGGTATAAAAAGGTTTAAAAGCTTTTGGGATTTTTGGTAATAGCTGGTAATTTAGGTTAAAACTTGTATATAGGTTTTTAGCCAGTTATAGGTTTTAAACTTTGGGATAATTTAAGGGTTTAAAATGGTATCTAAGTTTGTAGCTGGTATTTGGGTCATAGCTTGGGGGAAATAGGTTTAAACGGGGTAAATAGGTTATAAACTGGGGATATAAAAGGTTTAAAGCAGTGTAAAAGGTTAAAGCTTTAAAATAGAAATTAAAAAAATGTTTTTATATAATAAAAGCGGGTTTTAAAAATTTAATTTTTATTTGGTTATAGCTTATATTGGTTATAGCCCGTGTATAGGGTAAAGTTTGTATAAAAAGGTTTTGCTGGTATTTTAGTTAAAAATAGCTGGATTAAAAGGTTAAAAACTTGGTTCTAGGTTATCGCTTGTTTAAAAGGGGAACAGCTAGTATTTGTATTAAAAAGTGATATCCCAGGTAAAAAGCTGGTATTTAAAAGGGTTTAGTGGTCTAAAGAAATAATTTAAAAAAATTTTTAATAGGTTAAAGCTGGTATTATTTTAAAAGCTGGTATATAGGTTAAAAGCTGGTATTGGATATTAAACTAAGGAAAGTGGGTTATAGCTAAAGGGAAAGGGTTTTTTAGTAGGGATATTTTGGTTTTTTAACTATATATTTGGTTTTTAGTTTTTAATATAAGTTAAAAGGTTTGGTACGGGGATAAAGGTTTTCTGGGAAATTTTTTAGAAAAAAATTTTCCCGGGAAATTTTTAAATTAGCGGTTTTTTCGGGGGGGTAGACCAAAGAATTTGGGGGAATTTTTAGCCGCGAAAATGTCAAATTATAACAAAACCGGGGAAAAATTTCTAAACTTCAAAAAATATAACATTAAAAAGTGCAGAAAAATTTTTTTATAAACTACTTTACACAAAAAAAAAAACATAAAAAAAACCCCGATGCCCATAGGAAAAGTTTTTAAAGAAAAATTTTTTTAAAGTTGTTATTTGGGAATATAGTTTGCCCACCCCCTGAAAAAAGAAAATAACAAATTATTAGTTAAATTAAACATGGCCCCCTTTGACGGTTAGTAGGGTTTGAAAAACGGGTTTACGTTTGTGAACATTGAATGACTTGGATTTTAATTTTCCCGGAAATAGGTGTTTAATCCCCCTTTGTTTAAAAATACAAATAAACGATCAAAGTGGGTTTCAAATTTTAAAAACAAAAAGTTTTTTTTTTTAAATGAAAAGGATTTTACAAATCCGATAATGTTAAAAAAATACGTTATCCGACATTTGAAAAAAAAGCAGTTTTTGAATTTTAAATGAGAAAAAAGGGAACGGGTTTGACCCAAATCTTAAATTAAATCCACGATAATTTAAAAGGTAAAGGAAACATTAAAGTGTCAATAGATGAAAAAGATCGAGTAAAGTTCCCCCTTTAAAGGGGCCCCACCTTTTTCAAAAAATAAAATTGAAAAAAACCCCAACAGCAAGGGTTTATGGCAAAACAAAAACGGGAGCCCCCAAAAACTGTAATATAGGCGTGGGGCTTAAAAAATTCGCGGAATTGGTTAAAACTATCCCGAAAATTTGTCCTCCGGGAAAAATGCGACGTTGTGAAAAAAGGAATTAAATTTTATCCCCGAAAAAAATTTCTAAAAAATACAGTAAGTTTTGGGTTTAGACCTTTAAAGTGCCGCCCCGGGTTTCTTTAATAGGTAAGGGGCGGTTGGGCTGGGGAAACGGGCGTTCCCGGGGGGATTCACGGGTATGGGACAGGTTTCTGTAAAAAATGTGCCCAAAAAACCCCGCTTTGCGGTCACTGAAACATTGCATGTAATTTTGTAAAAGGTTTATAAAAACAAACAAACAAACAAAAGAAATTGAATGGTCACGGGCCTAAATTCACGGATGATTTTGTACGTATCAAGCATACATGTATTTTTGCCATAGAAAACAACACAGCATCAGGATAAATCGGTATTATGGACGGTATTTTTTGGGATTAATTTATTATGGAAGTGTATGGAAACATCGATAGCGCCGTCTGTAACATGTGTTTGTATTCGTACGCATTTTGCGTGATTATGATTTGGCCGGAAAGGCAGGTTGGGTACACAAGCAAAACCAAGTCTAGATATTTGATTCAATGACGCTAATTTTTACAAAAGACAAAGTCATTGCATTATCATTTTAATAGTTCCTTGGAGAATACATTTATTACAAAATCAAATGTAACTGCAACAAAGATTTAAATATACATGTATGAAATTAGATTAAGAGTCTATACATGTATAAGAATGAACTTTTGCCTAAACTTATAATTGCAAAGTGTAAAATTGATAGAAGAATATACATACAAAATTAGATATAAATTTTAGCCGATTATCTTTCCCGATTTTTATGACAAATAATTTCACGTTTTATTGATACTTTCTTTAAATTTAGGTTCACTTAATCAAATCTATGACAATTCATACATTAAATACAAAATGTTGCCTAAATCAAGCAGATACAGTTATAATTTCCATTTCTAGGTATTTTTTACACTAGTGTCTAGGTGCAGCTAATTATGATTCTTACTGTCTCAAAATCACCGTACCGCATGTCAGTACGCCGAAACCTGTATCTAGCAAGATAATGGGAGAATCTTTAGCTACCAGTTAAATGACAACTCAGTTGTATTTCATTTCGTCTTTAAAATATGAATTGTACTTGTTTTACTCGTTTAAATGTTCAATTTAGTTTATTCTTTCTTCATAAATATGTCTTAAGTCATCCATGGACTTTCCTGATAAACGATGAAGTAAAACACATGACATTACATGAGTTATTTATCTATTTAAGCTTTTATAGCTGCTCCCACAGTCTAACCAACGGTTCTAACCAACACTGTGATACTAGTAACAGCCAAAAATGATAGCATGTAATCTTCTAAAATTTGACTTGACGTTTTACTTTACCTCTCCAAAACGCAAAGTACAAAGTATAGGTTTTGCAATTGTAAATAAAATGCAACCATATACAATTGAACTTTTTTTTAAAAAACGCTTCTTAAATTTGCATCAAGGCAAATCTTACTAATCTTACTAAGCAAAACACCTCTCAGAAAGATCTCCTTCCCGGCATCATGTAAAATTTTTGGTTTTAAAGGCTCTAATGAGCAGTGCCTTTAAAAAGGGGCTCCCTTTTTTAAAAAAAAATTTAAACTTCTTTGGGGATAAAATTTATAATTACAAGGGAAAGTGCCATTTTTTATAAACCCGAAAACGGGCTTTTTTAAATTTTTTATGAAGTAAAATTTCTTACGACAGCTATTTTTTCAATTTTTTATTCAGGGCTTTTTAGTGGTCGTATGCTTTAAATTTTGTTTTTAAACTAACGTCTGATAAATTTAAATTTTAAGCCCCTTTCCCAAAAAAATTTTAAATTATTAAAAAAACAAGGGCAAAACCCAAAAATGGTGCAAAATTTAAAAATTTAAAAATTAATTATAGTGAAGGGGCAAAAAGGAGGGGGGATGGAAAAAGGAAACCAATAATTAAAAATATTGTCCCTTTTATGCAAAATTTCTATTTTCTTTTTTTTTCGCCTTGCTCAAAAAAGAAAAGAAATTATTTTTTTCTTTAAAAAAATCATAATAACCAAAGAAAAAACTAAAAACTGGTTTTCTGCATTTTCTTTTAAATTTTATCGAAAGAGTACAAAAAATAAATTAATCAAAAATTTTGAAATGGGCAATATTTATAAATTTTAAAAGAATAAATAATATCATTAACAATTTTTTTTTTTGTTTTTTTTTTAATTTTTTTAAAATTGGGCCCTTTAAAACTCCTCTTGTGTAAAAGTTCCATTAAGAATAATTAAAACCTCAATTACATCTTAGAAACACGGGCTTTTTTCCCTTTAGAGAGAAAACCCTAAAACTAAAAAAATTTTTTTGATCTTCAAAATAATTTCCCGAAATCTAAAGTGAAACTAAAAAATTTTAAATCCACAATATAAATTTATAGTTTTTTTAGAAAGAAACATTGGTGTCCCAAAAATCAAAATGGAAAAATAGAAAAAAACAACCCAAATTTTGAGGGCCTTTCTTTTTGACACTAAAGTTTTGTCTGAATCCCCCTACTGGCATTTCGTAATCCTTTGGGTCCCTCCTTTGTGAAAGCTACATAAGTCTAGAAACCCTCCCCCCTGATATTTTGTTTTTTCTGGTTCCCCCCTCCCGACACTACAAAATTGTAGTACCCCCCTTTCCCGAAAAATACGAAATTTTTTTTAAAAATTTCCCCCCTCCTAAAATTTCGCAAAATTATTCGTTTTCCCCTTTGTGACGTGAGCAGGAATCTAGTTTAACAATCATGAACATGGTTCACACTTCCTAGATAAAAAAAATTCTCTTAATTTTCACTTTATTTGCATTAATCACCTATAATTTGTAAAATCCCTACTATAACTATCCTTTGAATTAGTTTCGTACGAACAATACATATTATCATAAATTAGTAAAAAGCAACCGTCATATTGTTTTTATTTACAAATAAATTGTACGTTTTTCTAATTAAAGGAATTTCAAAGCACACAGCCGTTCAACAAGAATTTGAATTAAGTCTTCTTTGGTTTTCCCTGAACAGATCAAAATGTACAAATCTGGTAAAAAATGAAACAATAGTTTGTAATTATCCTCAACAAATATGTTTTCAAACGAATGTGTTAACCTTTCTGCCTCATCTCTCCATTTCCTGAACGCGGAAAAAAATTCAGGTTTGGAAATTGCTAATGCGACTGAATGATATAATTTAGGAACTTTAAGAAGGATACTACCACCTTCATCGAGGCAGTCTGACAGGAAGCTTATGACGGCAACTTTATCTTTACCAAACACATCACCTCTTAGCAGATTTCTTTCTGGTATCATGTAGTTTGGTAAATGATTGTTAATGACGCAGTGCTTTATGAAAAATATCGCTTTTTGAATAAGATTAACTAAGTGACTGGGCGTTAACTGACAGGAATCTGTCATTTCCATGACCCAGAAAATAGCGTTTTTTACTACATATGAAGTTAAAAAGTTACATCTAGGTTTCAGTAGTGTTTTAGCCATGATTTTTAATAATACGTATGCTTTAAGTTGAGTATCGGAAAGACTTGACACTAATTTCTTTTCTGCTGTAGTATAACATATTCTCCATTCATATGCTTGCATGTCGCTTTTTTTGTCTCCAATTGGTACAATATATCCTTCCATCTGGGATACTTCATTCACAGCCTCGGGAGTAGGCCACACATGATTCCTTGACCTGTTTGTCCACCTGTTTAAATAATTACCTCCATAGAAATAAAAACTAAACACTGTATCTACTTGTTCATTATTGAAATCACCATTGGATTGGAAGGCGGGTCCTGTACAACTATCAAAGACCTTCAATTCAAAACCATTCATTAAATCCAATGTACTACCTTTGAACTGTTCACTAGATATATATTTTTTCCCCGATTGCGTACGATATTTGCTTAATGTTTGCAAACGCATGTACGTTCCATTAAAAGGCATTCTTAAATCAAATGAATTGTGGTTAGAAATTAAAACTATTTTTGTGTAACCTGGTGCCGTACTATTTCGATAACTTTCAAGAACTATGCATTTACTATTCTCGAAACCTTCATCAACGCATATGATATCTTGAAATGCTATCATATAGTCAATATCACTGTCGGACAGTTGGATACCTTCACATGCACTGCCAGCTGATACGAATGTAAATACCGGTACATGTAAAAGACCATATTTAGAGTTGATAGTGTTTGCATGCTTTTGAAAAAGGTCATCCATTCGTTTTGATCGAAGTTCAATTTGCTCTTTACTGTACCCAAAACTATCCAATATAGTACATAATGATAGAGACAAGTTCTTGTCATTTGTAGATGACATTGTGAGTGGCATAGAAGCTGATGTTCCTGTTTTAAGAGATGATTTTCTTCAATGTTATGGTCCTGGAAAAAGCAAAAACAGAAATATGTATTCCTTTATTGCTTTTAAAATGTAAAAAAATACTTCTTAATGTGAAAAAATTGACAAAATGAGTGTGAAAGGTGCTTAATAGGTAAATAATAAATGGAATATATAACTTATCAATTAATTATAAGATTTATAGCAGACGATATAAAGTTGACTTGATGTGTTAGAGTAAAAAATAGCTGTATCGCGATTTGATTGATACCTACTGATTGTGTAATAAGATGTTTTTATATGCACTAATATTCCAAACTTATAAAGAAACCACTCACAACAATGTGAAACAGGGAATATGTTTTTAGTATTTTATAGTGTTTTCAACGAATCCATTTCCATGCATTTTAAAATAGAGCTTGTTTAGCAATTCTTTTATTAAGTTTTTATCTATTTTTATCTACCCATTTATTTATTTATTTATTCATCAATTTATGTCGATAGCTTATACATATCAAATCATTTACATATATTATCGCATGACGTTTTTGAATAAATATAAAAGTCTTATAAAAAATACAATCTAAAAGTAACATACAAATATACAAATCTGTATGATTTTTTTTTGTATTTAAATCTTTGATAATATCTTTACAAGTAAATGTACCATTATCATAATTAACTGTCACATAAAATTACGTACCTTGTAAACTATTGTGTCTATCCGTCATTGAAAAGTAGCTAACTTAGAAAAAAACCAACAGGAAACGGATATTTATAGGGAGAGGACATAAATGAGGATACTAAAATAATTAACTACATAATAATACTATAATTTCCTTAATTAATAGATACTCAACTCCTGATCTTGAAATCACAAGTGTTTCTTCTTATGATATGTTAGGTATTTTTTTTTGATAGGTGATAGATTACAATTGGAGGTCGGGGTATTCCATTTCCTTATCCAAATGGAAATATATTACTTCTTATGCCACTCATGCACACAAATAAAATTGTGTAAGCCTTCCCAAAATCTTAGTTTGAAAATACTTATGTCAATACATATCAGATTCGTGTCCATGGTGTGATAGACAATTTTTTCTGTATTTTGTCGCAAATATTTCTTATGTCTCTCATCCACTTAATAAACACAAGATAGTAAAAAAATGTTTTGTTTGTTTCATTATTTTACGCCTGTTCCCAACAGTATTTCAGTCATCTATTTTCCTAACCATCGTTCCTGGAGAGTTACACCAGAACTAGACTACCTTCCTCCGCGCTAAACTACCAAAGCATCTCCCGGGGATCGAACCCACGCCAGAGAGGTGAATGGATTAGAAGTCATCGACTCTAACCCCTCGACCACGGAGGCGGTACATAACAAAAAAAGGCATCTTAAATATTCATATTGATGAATGAACAACACTAAGTTGGAAACTACCTACATGTATATGTATTTGACTAGAATGCTGTTGCTTGTGCCATCAGAAAACTCAAAACTAGATTTATTGTCATTGAAATTATTTCATTTAACCCTTACCTTGAGGTAACAGGACAGAGTAAGGATAGACTTCACATCATTGCAGTTTAACCAACAGTTCTGAAAATGAAAGCTGGCCACGTCCATTGATGAAGGATTTCAGCAGGTTAAATATTAATACACGTTATTGTGAGTTAAGTTTGAAATGTTTTGGTATTGGTTTCATATCTTAAATAATGTTCTTTATGTACGTCAAAGAATACAAACATCAACATGCAAGATCGCCTTTCAAGGCACACAGCCCACAAGAACATTCAGCCTGCCATTACTCGAAGCCAAACAATGTGCTCTAATATAACGCAGTGTCAATAAAATGATCCCGCGCTCTATTTAGTTATAGTGTTCAAGTCATTCGGGATAACTAATTCAGTAAGTGTTATGCACAACACCGGTGCTAGAGTAACACTGTCTGGAGTTAAACATGTTTAGTATAATTACATTATCAGTGTTCTGCCAGATACAAACACGTGTGCCGTGGTGCATTAAATGTGAGATATGCTAATGTATTCAAAGCGTACCGTGGTGCACCAATTGTGAGACATGCTAATGTACTCAAGGCGTACCGTGGTGCACCAATTGTGAGATATGCTAATGAACTCAAGGAGTACCGTGCTGCACCAATTGTGATACATGCTCATGTACTCAAGGCGTACCGTGGTGCACCAATTGTGAGATATGCTAATGTACTCAAGGCGTACCGTGCTGCACCAATTGTGATACATGCTCATGTACTCAAGGCGTACCGTGGTGCACCAATTGTGAGATATGCTTATGTACTCAAGGAGTACCGTGGTGCACCAATTGTGAGATATGCTAATGTACTCAAGGCGTACCGTGGTGCACCAATTGTGAGATATGCTAATGAACTCAAGGAGTACCGTGCTGCACCAATTGTGATACATGCTCATGTACTCAAGGCGTACCGTGGTGCACCAATTGTGAGATATGCTAATGTACTCAAGGCGTACCGTGGTGCTCCAATTGTGATACATGCTCATGTACTCAAAACGTATTGGTGCACCATTTGGGAGACATGCTCTATGACTCATAGCGTGCCGTGGTAGATCAATTGTGAGACTTACTTATGTACTCAAAGCGTGCCTTGGTGCAGAAATTGTAAGACTTGCTCATGTACTCTAGGCGTAATGTAGTGCACAAATTGAGAGACATCATCCTACAGCGAAGAATACATAATTGTCTTATCAAGCTATCAACACAACCAATCAAACGTCAGAATACCATGGTAAATAAAGCAGGGAAACAAATAACAGAAAAAAACACACTTTGTCTTATCTCATGACACGGAAGATGGTCCTGTAATCATAATAATTATAACAATATCATAATGAAAGTGAATGTTATAATTTATAGTTAATCATTGGTTTTGAAAGCATTAAATTTTCCTTTATTTTCTCCTTTCGTTTTAAGAACCTCTTAAGGGTTCAATGAAACTGAATAAGTAGAAAAAATAGCATCTCAATAACATCTTTATTGCACCTCATCAACATGACCTTTCTCCTTACAGAGAAAAACAAAACGCTTGTGATAAAACTTGACAAACTTTGCTATCAATTTACTGATAAATATACTGAACCCGTGTTAGTCACATTGTCCGTATAAAGTTGAGTTTCTAAAGTTTGCCTGCAAATATTCACGGTACGGAATCACTTGATGTTCAAGTTAAGGCAAACTGACAACATGGCGTCCTGTGAACAATTGTCGACTTTATGGGCGATAATGCAATTTGAATTCATCAGTTGTATACAGCGATAGGTCTTCTACGTAATTGTTAATCGAAATAGTGTCAAAGCACAAGAAAGAGTCTCCGAATCGATGCATTCAGGCCACTATGTTGTCAGCCTCTTGATTCCATATATACTGTTATAACATGTACATAATCGATTAAATATTGAATCATTTTACCTTTTAAAAGATCTTATTACATTTATCTAAAGATTGAATTTCTTGAAATATTTTGTCTCATCTGGATGCGTGCAGCTTTAAAGCCGCACGCATCCAGATTTATGCTAATTTTCATGAAATTTTTTAAAATATGTGTAAACGTATAGTAATGTGAAGTGAACAAAAGGAAGCAATTCACACCTAATTAATTGCACCTGCAGCTCACGTAAATTGCTAAAATTGGGTAAAAATGTGCAAGAAAAGCTCTTACTGCGTTAGTAACCCAGTCGAAATATTGTTATAATATTGATAAAATCAATCATTAATTTAACTACATATAACATGTCAATTATTACTTGAATCTTTAATATTTTTACATTCCTAAAGCATAAGTAATTTTTTTGTTTAATTTTGATTTTATTGAAATATTTTGGCTCATCTGGAGGCGTGCAGCTTGAAATGTTGTGCAATATATCAATGTGAGAAATTATAAGAATTCGCCATTTTCTTTTTACTTCCGGGAACAATAGTTTTTATTGTTAAGAAAGAGGGAAATATATGATCGGAAAAAAAAATTCCTAAATACTTAACAAATTTCAACATACTTCTTGAAGTATACTTATCAAGTCCTTTAAGTTAAAGCTGTTTAGGATTCCTTTTGAAAATTTACGAAACAGAGGGAAATATCTACACAATAACATGTTGATTACAACAATTAAGACCAAACCCAATCACGTTGATGAACAATACAACATTCGAGGAAAAACCAAGAACATATCATCATCAAAAAACCACATCATTACAGTTTCACGTGATTTGTAAATTTTATGACAAAAACATCCTTGTTCATAAGATTTAAGGACCAAGTGAACGTTTCGTACGACCAAACCTCAGACCACTTTCGTTTCAAAGAAAATGTCCTAACTTACTCCAATGTTAATTAAGACTCTTCAATTTTTGAATAGCGATCCAGATGAGCATTTTTTCTTTGAAGGACTGAAAGTCGTGCCATTGTTTTTTGTAACTTCTCTCGGGAGAATGAATTAAATAAAAGACTACAACTTATACTGAAGATGAAGTGTTTTTTGTCTAAAAATTAAGAAATCATTCGAATGCAACAGTAATCTTTGGTTCATTTTGGTGTTAATGTACAATGAGATGTAAAGAAAGAAATTTACAATAAAACACCAGAACTTGTTAACTTACGATTAAAAGGCGTTTTAAGACAAAAGTATTACATCTATCAGTCCATAGGCTGTGATTATATGAGACGTGATCGTGAATAGCTGAATTATCAAAACTAAGTGTATATAAACATAGCATTTCTTTAGTCAAGGATACAGAAGACACTGTCTTGTGTTTGCAGACTGAAGATTGTGTCCGCTTTAATTTCCTGCAACTAGTAATTTGTCGTCTGTCCATTAAAGTTTAGTTCTTACAAGAATAAACATGCCATAGGTTGGTATTTAGAGTATAACTAGTATTAAGGTTATAGCCTGTATCTAGATAAAGCTTGCATCTTGACTATAGCTAATAAGCT